TGGATAAAAATCCCAAAGGAAGTCATCTGTACGGGCCAGATGAAGGTGGAGGAGGACAGGTCAAAGATGTTACATGACTTTGCTAGGGCTGCATAAGAAAACATCACAGATTGGGTTGCTTAAGCAATAAAGATTCATTTCCTCACTGTTCTTCTGGAAAGTGGGAGTCCTAAATGAAGGTGCAGCCAGGATTGATTTTTTTTTTTTCGGTAGTGGGGATTGAACTTGGGTCCTTGTGCTTGTGCAGCAGGCGGTAAAACCACTGAGCTAAACCCCGGCCACAACCAGGACTGATTTCTGCTGAGGCTTTTCTCCATTGTTTGCAGATGGCCTTTTCTCTGTGCGTGCACATTCTTTTGTTTGTTTGTTTTTGTTTTTTGGTACCGGGGATGGAACTCGGGACTTCTCACTTCTGAGGCAGGCTACGGAACCACTGCGCTAAATCCCCGGCCCCACATTCTCTTTTTATAAGGAAACCAGTCTGTTATGACTTGTGTCTAGATGTCCCCCCAAATCCTGCTGTGCTCATCATGGGTGGGACTTTTGGGAGGTGGCTGGATCTAAGGTGTGTGATGCTGGATTAGGATGTGTGATACTGGGATTTTAAGGGTGGTATGGATAATGGAAGCCCCAACCTGGGTGTGGGTGGCACCAATCAAAAGGGCTGTAGCCTGGATGGAATATAGGGACAGAAAAAAGGCAGACTTGCTGTTGCTGCTTTGCTGCCTTCTGCCTGCCCCACCATGAATTGTTTCTCTTCTGCAACGCCCCTCTGGCATGCCAAACTGCCAGGCGACTATTGACTGAAACCTCTACAAACTGTGAGCTAAATATCAAGTATTTTGTTCCAGCAAGAAAAAAGTAACTAACACACAGTCCTATTGGATATCTGTCTCACCCTCATGACCACATTTAACTTTAACTATTTTCTTGAAAGGCCTTATATCTAAATGCAGCCCCACTGGATTTTATGGCTTTAACATGAATTTTGGCTATAAAAGATTCACTATTTCATAGGATACTTAAAAAACATGCACGATTACAATGGGCGTGGTGGCTCACGCCTGTAATCCCAACACTAGGAAGGCAGAGGCAGGAGGATCGTTTCAAATTCCAAGTTCGAGCCTAGCCTGGGCTACACAGTGAGTTCAGGGCCAGCCTAAACTACAAAGTGAGACCCTGTCTCAAAAAACCGAAAAAAAAAAAAAAAAAGTGAGATCAAACCTGGGGGTGGAAACTCAGGCCTTGCATGATAGGCAAACATTCTGATATAAGCCCTTTCTAGTCTAAATAATTTGTTTTGGTTTTTTTTACTGCGGATTGAAATCAGTTGCACTCTACCACTGAGATGTATCCCCAGCCCTTTTTATTTTTTATTTCGACACAAGGTCTTGCCAAGTTGCTCAGGCTGGCCTCAAACTTGCAGTCCTCTTGTCTTGGTCTTCCCAGTAGCTGAGCTCATAGGCATGTGACATAGGACCCAGACCATCACCCATTCCCACTTTTCATTCTAGACTATAACCATAAAGACAGACTCTCCTTTTCCCCACTTATGTCTTGTTTTGTTTTGGTTTTTTGAGACAGGGTGTTGATACATAGTTCAGCCTGGGTTTATACTCACTATGTAGCCCAGGCTGGCCTTGAGCTTATGGAAATCTTCCTGCCTTAGCCTCCTGAGTGCTGGAATTACAGGTGTGAGCCACCACACCTGGCCATTATGTTTTTGTTTAATAATTTTATAACTCTTTATAATGTCACAAGATTTTTTTTCCCCGGTACTGGGAACTGAACTCAGGACCTTACACTCTCCAGGCAGATGCAACACCACTGAGCTACATCCCCAGCCCTATAACTCTTTATTAGAAAAAGGATGAAAGGGGGGGATGAAAACTGGAAAGCACAACTCAAAATCCAAAGAAGCAGAGAAAAATATACTTGTATCAGAAAGATATAATTTCCCTAATGGTAAAGAGTTCCTCCAAATTAACAAGAGCATCAATTCAATAGAAAATGACCAAAAATGCAAATCACACAAGTACCAAAAAGTAAACTAAATGACTCTTAAATGTTTCGGAAATTTATTATTACATGTTGCAGTACATTCATTGGGGGATTTAATTGTCTTTACTTCCCTTTCTCCCTACCTCCATCTTTTGAGACTCTTAAGTATTTGATACACTCTTCTACCTCATTTATAATAAGAAAAATACACATCAAACTGAGATTATTTTTATCCCATGCTCTTGACAAAGGTGTCATGTGATAGCCACTGTTGTTGGTGAGGATATGGATGAACACTGCTGGTGAGAGTAAAAGTTGGACCAACTTCTGCAGAAGCAGATTTCACACCTATCCAAGTTACATAGGGACATACTTTTTTTTTTGGTACTGGGAATCCAACTTGGGTCTTTGTGCTTGCAAGGCAGGCAGCGGCACCACTGAGCTAAATCCCCGGCCCTAGGTACATATTCTTTGATCCAACAGTTTTAATAATTATTTTACCAGTTTTAATTATGCTATACACAGTAGTCCCCCCTTATCTGTTGCTTCACTTTCCATGGTTTGGATTACCTGTGGGCCACAAAATATTAAATGGAAAATTCCAGAAATAATTCATAATTTAAAATTATGTGACTTTCACTATCATGATGAAATCTTGTGCTGTCTTGCTCCATCCTGCTGGGACATGAACCATCCCTTTGTGCAGGGTATCCACGCTGTATAAACTACCTGTCCATTAGTCACTCCATAGCTGGTTATCAAATCCACTTCTGCAGTACTGCACTGCTGGTTTTCGAGTAACCTTTATCTCACTTATTCATGGCCTCAAAGCACAAAAGTAATGATGCTGGCAATTCAGATATGCCAGAAAACCTGTAGTGTTTCCTTTAAGGGTCATCTCCTATCATCACAAGAAGATGAGTACAATATAATAAAATATTAAGAGAGGGAGAGAAAGAGGATACATTCAAATAATTTGATTATTATAGTATAGTTATAATTGTTCTATTTTATCATTATTATTGTTAATTTCTTTTCTAAGGAGGAAAGGTTTATTTTGGCTCAAATGTTAATCTCTTGGTGTACCTAATTTATAAACTTTTTATAGGTATATTAAAAATATTCTATTTGGGTTCAGTATATCTGTGGCTGCAGGCATTCACTTGGAACATATTCTCATGAGAAAGAAGGAATATTGTATATACAACTGTGGAAATCATGTTTTCAATTTCTTTTTTTTTTTGCGGAACCGGCGATCAAACTCAGGACCTTGTGCTTTCCAGCCAAGTGCTGGCGTCACTGTGCTAAACCTCCGGCCCTGTTTTCAATTTCTTAATGTCCTTCAACAGAGAATCAGTACATCTATATACTGCAACACTTTGAAGCCATATAAAGAAATGAAGAAGCTCTTTATGTACTGATCAAGGATGGTTTCCAAGTTCTTTTAAGTAAAAAGAGCAAAGTGCAGAATTGCATTTGTTGTGTGTACATAAAAGGCGTGGAGGGCCGTGGATTTAGCTCAGTGGTTCTGGTGCCTGCTGTGCAAGCGCAAGGTTCTGAGTTCAATCCCCCGTACCAAAAAAAAAAAAAGGTGTGGAAATACCTACATATATATGTACAACATAGTATACATTGTAGTTGTGTGTAATCACATTAGGTGATATGTTATAGTGTATATATTTCATATTAAACAATGTATCAATTCAAATTATAGAATTAGTGTTATTTATATATTAATATTTATTATGGTGCCTTTTCATGCAATTGGTAATATATATATATTTTTTAATGAATTTTCTTGTAGATTATTAACTGTCTTTGGGAGAATACTTAGGAAATTGGCAAGACTAATTGCCTCTTTTTTTTTGGTACCGGGGATCGAACTCGGGGTCCTTGTGCTTGCGCAGCAGGCAGCGAAACCACGGAGCTAAATCCCCGGCCCTAGTTGCCTTTTGAGGACTGGATGACTGAGGGGGAGAAGTCTTTTCACCAAACTCATACCTTTGGAATACTGTATCATGTGACAAAGTCCATCAGGAAAAGAGCACCAGGAACACACCTGTTGTCACACAGATCATCTCTCTGGATTGAGTATTTTAGCAATCTGTTCAAGAGGTATGAGGAACAAAGTAGGGCTGGGGAAGTTATTAGTAAGAAAGCATTAAGTTTGGAGGGAAATAGAACCTACCAGGTCATGCTCCCAGATACCCACCTCTTCCAGGCTCACCTTCCACAAGCCCTGCTTGTGAGTCTGTGAGGCTCTTGGGGGATATCCCATATCTAAACCATAACAGAAAAAAAAATAAAGAATTCAAGAGCCAAAAATAAAAAGCAACTCATCACAATACCCACAGGTATGGTGTAGCCTTGAGAAAAATACTGTTCCTAAAGGCCTTCCCACTGGTCCTGTATCTACTAGGTGCATCACAGACCAAATATAATCAAGACTGATCTTTAATTTTTCAGTCCTGGGCCAGAGACGTAGCTCAGTGGCACCTCGCCTGCCTCATAAGCACAAGGTCCTGAGTTTGATCCTTGGTACTGGAAAAAAAAGAAAATTTAATTTTTCAGTCCTGATTTTTATTTTCTAACCCTTGAATGTGTTACCTGCTCAAAAACTACACAGATTTTAAAACAAGGAGGATGAAAATAAACCCTTTTCCACACAGAATTTTCTTGCAAATAAAAGATTTGGCAAACAAAAAGTCAAGTTTTTTCTTCTGTGCAGTCCTATTCCAAAAATCAACTGTGAAAAATTAACATTTTCAGAAAACAAGGGAAAGTACCCCAATGTGGCAACTGCAGATGCCAGGAAGTGTAGGGGTGGCCCCAGTATCTGTTTTTGTCTTCCACCAGGGGCTTAGAGTACTTGGGACTTGTACTGTACCTCCAGAAGCAAACTCTAAGGGTGCACAGGGCAAAAGCATGCATTGCCCTCAATAATCTTTAATGGGGATCTGTGGAAGAGAGAGCAATTTTTAGGATAAAAAAAACTTTGGGCAAGTCATTTTCCTTTTAATTAAGAAATTGAAAGGATTGGAGCAGCTGATCTGCTCTCTGAGATGTTGGCTATAGCTTCAGCAACAGGATGAATGCTGCAAAAATAAAAGGAAGAATCACGATGAAAACAACATTAAGCTTTTGAACATGGAGTTGGTAGGACATTAGTTAGCAGGTCTTATATAACATTCAAACTGATACCTAGGAATGTGACCTTTGGGTATTGTTATGGTTTAGATATGGGATGGCCCCCAAAGTCTCATGGGTTCCCAGGTGGGACTTGTGGAAGGCAGGGCCTGGTTGGAAGGGGTGAATCACAAGGGAACGACCTGGTAGACTGTATGTCCCTCCCCAGTTCCTCCCTTTGCTCTCTGCTTCCTGGTTGCCATGACTTGAGCAGCCTTCCTCCGCCCAGGCCCTTCACGCATGTCTTCTTGACTTGGAGTTGGTCAACTATGGACTAAAAACATGAGCCAAAATAAACTTCTCTGTTGCCAGAGCCAGGTATTCTGTCTTTGTGACAAAGTGGTTAAGACTGGTATCTTCATTTCACTCTTTGACTACAGGCTCTAGTACAGAGATGACGACCTTATACCTGAGACTCACGATGTTATCAAGAAGTTACAGGACTCTGGTTTTATGGGTATTTTTACTATGTACATATATCCTTTTCTTTATCTTCCATTGGTTACATAGCTCCTGTCATACAGCACCTACTCCTTCTCAATTTTTTTTTTTTTTTTGGTACCGGGGATTGAACTCGGGACCTTGAGCTTGCGAGGCAGGCCCCGGAACCACTGAGCTAAATCCCCGGCCCTTCCTTCTCAATTTTAACAGAAGTTTTCTACAAAGGAGTCTTTACTGCTTTCCCATTTAAGCTCCCAGTGCATTTTCTGAAACACTGACTCAGAGCTATCTATCTCTTCCAAATTGCAATTCCTAAGTCCCTCACATATTTACTTTTGCAGTTCCTGAGTTTGAGCTGATTGACAACAATGTAAAGTCAGTTGTCTTTCACCAAAGGCAACCCTGGTTAGCAGTATGTATTTTTCCAGCTCCCCCCCCTTTTTTTTTTTTTGGTACCGGGGATTGAACTCGGGACCTTGAGAGGCATGCGGGGGAACCATTGAGCTAAATCCCCGGCCCCTTCCGGCTACTTTCTACGCAGAGACTATCTCACAAACGAGAGGTTTGTCACCTCATATATCTAGGGCAGTCTCTCTGGGAGCGCCCGCCCCCAGGGTCTTCGCACTGAACTACACCCCCAGTCCTTATTTTTTTCATTTTGAAACGGTCACGCTAAGTCACTAAGTTGCCAAGGCTGGGATCGAACTCGCGGTCTTCCTGCCTCAGTTTCCCAGAAATGCTGGGATCACAGGAGTCGCGCCACCAGGCCGGGGTAGGAAAGTCTTTTCTAGACCTGTTTTCTCCTGAAGCCGAGTTTCCTTTGCAGACATTACTTCAGTTCCTCATCTCTCGTAGTCTCATTGCCAGTTACTCCCGAACTCTGAGGTCTCTCCGGCTACCAAGGCAACACACATGTCACCGCCTTCACTTTGTTGGCCGAACCCTCACCCGCCTTTAATGCACACTCCTCTCTCCTCCTTCCAATCCAGAACTCGGGAAGTTTGGGGCAGTTCTTCTGCCTCACTTCCGCCTCGTTGATCGATTGGCCGAGGCTGATTGGACCCCACAGCTCGATCCAGGGTTGGGCGCATTGTAATGACGACATCGTCTGCCGCGGCAGCTGGGAGACGGGGTGGGTTTCCGGGGCTACGGTCCAGACTGCTGAGAGCTCCTGTCATGGCGGGCGCTCTGTGCGGCCTCTTTGCCGTCCTGCTGCTGCTATCAGGGGATGCCCAGAGCTCGGAGGTGCCCGGGGCTGCTGCCGAGGGATTGGGAGGGAGTGGGGTCGGCCTGGGAGATCGTTTCAAGATTGAGGGGCGTGCAGTTGTTCCAGGGGTGAAGCCTCAGGACTGGATCTCCGCGGCCCGAGTGCTTGTAGACGGAGAAGAGCACGTCGGCTTTCTTAAGTGAGCATCCTCAGGGCAGCAGGAAAGCGGTTGGGATGGAGGTCGGAGCGAGTTCCGTTAGGAGGGCTAAGTGTCAGAAGGGGCAGCGTCGCTGGCGCAGAGTGCTTGGGCAGGTGCTGCCAAAGATCTAGATTGGGAGACCTTGGGGGAGTCGGACCCTTCCCCTTCTCCGCCTGAATCTCAGAAATGAGGGTGACAGACCCTCGCCCAAGGCCCAACCACTGGGTTCAGTTACTTTTGACACCATGTTGGCCCCCGTATGGCGCAGAGTGCTCTTGGGCCCTGGGGACAGGTTGACATTTTGTCTTTTGCTGGGTTTTTTTCTTTTGCTTCTCGTCTGGTTTCTCTAGAATCCCGTCGCTTTTTGCCTTCATTTGAGTCCGTTGGTAACTTAGGGTTGTGTAGAAAGATGCCAAACAAGTGGGAATTCTCAAAGCCCAAAGGGTTTTCCGTGATGACACAGACTGGGAAGCTAATGTTACTGTTTCTAAAATTAACTTGCCCTGAAGTCCCTAATCAAAGCACTTTTTTTTTTTTGTCCTGGGTTTGGGATTATTGTTCTTTTTACACTTGAATTCACCGGAGGATTTGCAGAATCACACTTGTCACTATGTGAAACTACAGTCTGCTTTGGTTACACGTGTTTTTCATTTCTAGCTATTACTAGAAATGAGATTTCTGTCTATTTTAAAAGAAGGGATGGATTTGTTAGCCCTCCAGTTTTCATTCTCCAGGCACAAGTATGAAGTTTTAAATCTTTCCGCCACTACTTGGAAAGTGAATTAGTGAAATGAAGGAAAATAGGAAAGGAAGTTTTTTGAGGGGCTGGGTTTTCACTCCAGCAAGTGGTGTAGACCACCTAAATGTGATCATTTAAATTTGGTGTGCAGATTTGTTCAGATCAGCCAAGTGGCCTCTTTGAGCAGATCCACCTCAGGTTAATAAAAACGACATCCCCCCCCCCCCAAAAAAAACCCCGACAAATTTACAACTGGTATTTTCAGGCTATTTGGCATTAATCTGGCATTAGAACAGTCTTTAGAGTTTACTCTAATTGATGATATTTTAGTGATAAAACTCAATAAACTTTGGAAAAGTAGCCTTAATTGAGCATTTGACTTCTCTTCTGCAGTATACAGTTCTCTTGAAAAGCATTTATTTTTAACGTTAAAATAATGTATTAATAATGTGTTTATTGAAGAAAATAAGAAACTTTCTTTTTGAAATTTACAAGATGGTAATGGTGCTTAACATTCCATACCTTTTTTTAGGTTAAAAAAAAAAAACATTTGGGGGCCAGGGATTTAGCTCAGTGGTTCCGCTGCCTGCCTTGCAAGCACAAGGTCCTGAGTTTGATTCCTGGTACCAAAAAAACAGTTGACCTGTTCTGAATACTAAAATATACAATACTTTATAACTTGCCCTGTGAACAGTTTTTAATATCATTCATGGTCATAGTACACTATTAGCATATATATAGAAAAGTTGATCAAAAATTAATGTGAAGAATTTATGGTGTCAGGCTTGTTGGAAGGGGTATATAATTTGGCTTGTAGCTGTTTTGAATAACTAATGCACAATTTTGACTTATATTTATGCTTTTTTGGCTAAGGGAGATGGGGGAAGGAGTGGTTGAAGACTACTCATGCCATTCCTTACCATCATTGCCATGTATATAAACCACAATTTATTTAACCAGTCCATTTTCTTTTTCTGAACTTGGGGATTTTGAACTTTCAGACTTCCAAATCCTGTTTCAAACCATGCAGGGAGCATGGGAGGGAAACACCTTTGAGCATAGGCCAGGCACATGGCTGAGGGCTGTCCCACCTTTTTGAGGGTGCCTACGCAAACCAGAGTTTGTCAGCATCCTGGGCAGTGTGTGGAGGGGGGAACACAGGTAGGTAGATGCCAAGGGACCAAAAGGAAGAAGTAACTAGGAACGAGTGAGTAGCAAGATACGGAGAAAAAGGGGATGTGTACAAGGCGCTGGAAGAAGCTGGGTGCAGGTGGACAAGTTTAGTGCCATCAAACAGGAAAGTCTGTCCAACCAGAAGTCTGTGCACAGGCTCTGCTGTCACTTGCAATCCCTTCTTAGTTCTGGATTGTGATCTCTCTCTCTCTTTTTTTTTTTTTTGCAGTCCTCTATTTTTGAACTTTAAATTGTTTTCAGGTCGTTTTTTTTTTTTTTTTGACATGGCTAGGCTTATATATTACAATTATATACTATAATTTTTGGAATTTTTTATAATAGAAAATCTCAGACATATAAAAAATATGAGTCCTTGAATACCCACCACAGTCTACTGCTTCATTTCATATCTTCTCTGCAGCTCATGTACTTTTTTTTTTTCTGGAATACTTTCAAATGGTCCTAAGCCTAATACAGTTTCACTTGTAAAAGCGTTTATTATATATCGCTAAAAGTAAAGACTTGAACAAAAACCACACTGGCATTACAGAGTCAGCAAAATAAATAATCCCTTAGTATCATCTAACACCCAGTCCATTTTTGTTTCCCCAGTTGCCTAAAAAAGTGCTTTTATATACTCGTTCTTTTAAATCAAGATCCAGTAGAGTCTCCATAGTGAGGAATACTTTTGTTGTTGTTGTTATTTGTTTGTTTGTTTGTTTTTGAGTCAGGGTCTTGCTGTGTAGTTCAGGCTGGCCTTGAGCTCATGGCGATCCTCCTGCCTCAGCCTCCTGAGTGCTGGGATTATAGGTATGTGTCACCATGCCTGACTGAAGAGTACATCTTAGAGCTAAGTTTTAAATTTTTTTATTACAAAATTTGTGTTATCTCTTTAAGTAAAATATCGACCTTAAAATAAAATGCATATTTGCTTTTTTTTTTTTTTTAGTAATAGTATCAGCTTCGTTTTTCTTTTTCTCTGGACCCAGAATCTTTTTTGTTGTTGTTGTTTTGTGTTGTTTTTTTTACTGGAAATCGAACCTAGGTCCTTTGCACTGAGCTACATCCTCGCTCCTTTTAAAATTTTTCATTTTTTCATTTTGAGACTAAGTCATGAAACTTCCCAGAGTAGGCTCAAAGTTGTGTTCTTCCTGCTTTGGCCTCTCAGCATGTTGGGATTACAGGCCTGTCCCACCATGCAAGGCTCAGAAAAATGTTTTGAAATTGGCTCAGTGCGGTTCCATCAGGAAGCAGAAGATGCACTCAAATAAGAATACTTTAAAGAGAGATTAATGAAAGGATTAAACAGTGTTTTCTTGGCATAGGAAAACAACCAGACTGTGCAGTGTCTTGGGAGCTTACAAACTCGTGACTGTTAACCATCTCTAAACATCAGGGAGGAGGGGAAATAGAGATTTTTGGAACTAGAAGGAAAGAAGGGTTGCCTTAATAGGAGCTGTGTCCCTGAACACAGCCAGCCCAAGGTGCCCACTCAGTGATAAAGCCAATGAGAAATTGTACGAAGCTCATTTTCTTCCCTTCTTGCATTCTGTGGAGCGAAGGTTGGAGAGTGGGTCGGGAGGACAGGGTAAGATGTCTACCCAAGAATAGGTTAACATGATGAATGTTTACATTTTGATTCTGTTTTAGTTTAATGTGTTCTTTGAAATAACAAGGAACACTTTTTCTTTTTACCTTTTGGTAAATATTGTGGTTGTAATCAGGATCAATTGATTATTCCTGTAACTAGAATCTTTAACAATGACCCTAAAGATTTAAGAAGCATTATTTTATTTTATTTTTTTAGTTCTTTTATTGGTACATTTTAGGTATTCAATTCATTTACATTTATCATTGGGTGTTTGTACCTGTACATGATGTATCTTGGTTCTTATTTTTTCCCCATTACCTGTGCGCCCTTCACCCCCTCCACCCTTCCCTATTTACATAGATTTCATTTCCATTTTTTTTTCTTTTTTCAGTTTTTCCTTTCCCTCTTTTCCTTTCCCCATCTCCTCCCTTCACTCCTTCGTCTTTGGACCTTTTTTCCTATTTCAAATTATCAATTATTCATTTTAATCATTTTAACCCTTGTTTACACTATCAGTTTCTCACACTAGTGAAACTATTCAGTATTTACACATGTGTGTCCTATTTATTTCACTTAAGAGCATGGCCTCGATATGCATCCATTTAGCTATAAATGACTCTAGTTTTTCGTTCTTTATGACTGAGTAGTACTCCATTTTATAAAAGAAACCCATTTTCTTTATCCAGTTTCCAGTTGATGGGCACTTGGGCTACAAGAAGCATTATTTTAACATTATTATGACAGTGGGGATTTTCTGACATAGTTGATCCTTTTCAAACCATTTGTTATCCTGAGACAGACTTTTCCTTTGGAATAGCTGTTTCTCATTTTCCAAAGACATTAATTTTTACCTGCCAAATGATACCAGTTCTTGATAGGGTAGTTTTTCTAAATTCAGGTTTAGGAGAAATCAGTAAGAAGGAAAAGATGGATGGTTTAAAATACATAAACATTTTTTACTTCTACACATTCAAAAAAGAAGTAACTGAAGTAAGTTGGTCTGTTTATTAATGGAATAAATGCTATGTAAATCCTTTTTGTTGGTTGTGAAAAAGAAAAAAACCCAACAAAATATGAATTAAAACAATCCTCCACCCCCTTATCCTGGGTACTGGGGATTGAACCCAGAGTTTCTCATTGAGCTACATTCCTAGCTCCTAGCCCTTTTTTTATATTAAGATAAGG